CCATCTTCTACATATACTGTGTTTAATTTGGTGTTAACAGTTTAACAGTTTTAATTTGGTGTGAAACAAATTTTTTAAAATTTTTTGCATAAGGGAAAATCGTAAAACCTTCTAAGTTCTAGCAGTTAAGACTTTGCTGCTTGCATGGGGTCCTAAGAGTTGTATGAAATAGCGGATAAGTGCATGGTGATGTTTACATGTTTACATTTGCTCAAAATACAAACTGCAAAACGTCATTTTTGAATGTTTTGTCATTTTACCAATAGTATCTATGCTACTTTTGGCTGTCTGATAATTTTTTTTTCAATGCTGTTACGCATTTTGCCTTAAAATTGTCTAAGATATAAAAAGAATCATTAAATTGAAATTAATTTGGAACCTAGTAGATATCAGTATTAAATACATCAACTCATTGTAACCAGCAGATGAAAGTAAATACTGATACACTCAGAACCAAACCTATTTGTAGGAGGTCAGTAATTTGCATTCAATTTATACTTATATTTCATTCTTTTAGGCCGTCAACACCAGTTTTTGATTTACTTGAACACAAATACCAGGATCGTTGGTTGCAAGAGAGGCGTAGAAATGAGCTTGCCAAGCGAGAAAAAATGCAACAAAAGGTAATAATGTGTACTGAATATTCTGTTTATACTTACTATGTATTCTATCATGCCAGAAATAATTTACCAGATAAAAATTTGCTGAACATTTTTCTTTATTAAGCTCTAAATTCTTATTGTTCTTATTTTCTAACCAAATGCATATACTTTCTCATTGGCTGAAAATCTTGATCCAAAAATGTTTAAAAATATGAAAAAGCATGCGTGTATATTTCATGAAAGGTAAAATTATGGATTGACTTTGGTGTCCCAAGGGTTTAAGTTCAGGATGAAGGTTTATATTAACAACCAGGCTTTCGCTAAGCATTTTTAATATCTCTAGTAAAACTCGATGCTCAAAAATCAATGCAGTGCTCTATGCATTTGTGTGTTCACCATAGAGAAACCAAGAGAAACATGATGCTTTGGAGAATAATAAATCCCATGTTGTTTCATTTAATAAATTAGTCAAATACTATGTGACTTGATTCATTGTATTGCCGTTATTTTTCTAAACCTCCCATCGTCACCTTCTATTGTTGTTTGTTAAGCGGCTGTGTACAGTGCTGTAAAACCAACATATTAGCCGTTCTCGACTGTAATCTAATACTTGAGTCATGTGTTTTATCTTTGTTGTCAGAGTACTGGTATATAGTTGATCTCATTGTCTATGGTTATATGCATCAAACTACACTAAACCTTTGAACAACATTTGTCACTATGCACAATTTGTCCTGAAATCACTGAAAACTGTACAAAATTGTTGCACCAACTGCCTGGAAAATTTAGCCAAATAATTGAGATATATATGTAATTTGTAGTTGTAGAAGTGTAATTATTACCGTAATAAAGCCATTTCATCAGTTTGTGGGTGATTCAAGAAATATTTGCGTTGACATAGACCTCTAGGGTCTATGATTTAGGTAAAAGAAATTTAACGATACACAACTGACTTAACATAAAATGTGAATACAGAACTGACAGGACAATAAATAAAACTAGGGTGAGTAGCATAATAAGATGATTTGTTTGGTGCCAATATTCATGCAAGCAACTCAACAAAAGCATCAATAATTTATGTACTTAACACAAGTGGTAGCATTACTAAATATATCTTGTCCCCCTCCCAACAAATTATTCAATTTTTTTTTCATCAGATGAGTAGTCTAAAATTGATATGTCATTGTCAATTCATTAACAGCATTACCTACCAACTTCTTTTTATTTATGTACAAGTTATTATTTAAATTTCATTAAAAATAATGCCTGCACAAGTATTGTTTACTGTATTAGCTCTATAGATCATTTTCCGTTCACTGCGAGAATCACGCGTTATGCGTGAAATCGAACATAAAAACAGGACATACAAAGGTCATAGCGTCGTAGTGGCATCAAACATCGTGTGGGATTCGACAAACGCGAAAGTATTTTGGGGGACATTTCCATGCTTAATAATGTGCTGTACACATTTGATGATGGGCAATTTCTATTAAGTGAGGATATTCGAAAGCAATATTTCTCTGTCAAAGATCGGCCGGTCGATGTGAGCTATGAAATAAAGAAATTTGAGTTCAAAATCAAATCGTTTGATTTTGCAGCAGACGTTCAACGCGCGTCTTTCATGCATCTCGCGAGATCTCGCAGTTGTACGGAAAATCACCCATTAGTATTGCACACACTTATGTAAATAACAGATGTGTCTATGTTCAAAATAGTCATATTTTTATGATACAGCAAGCATGCAAAATATGCACTTCTATTGAAGATGTGCATCCAATAGCAAATACGGTGTGTATATATATATATCCCAAATATATATATATATATACATACAGATTTGTAAAACATTTAACTTACATGCTATCATAGAAGAGCCATTGTTAAAAACGATTCCCAAATATTGTCAACTACATCATATTATTTTAATTTTAAGGGTAAGCATGCTGGACAAACACATGACAATTTACCTATATATTTTACAAATTGTTAAAGTGTTGTTTTTTTAAAATACCATGACCTTCTCATTTTCCCCATTTCAATATTGATCCTGGTGGCTGTTAAAAGTGACTTGTTTTCAGTATGTGACTCAATTGCAATGTATCAGATTACATTGCTATCATGTTTTGCTTCACTAACATTCAATACTCTATTCTCGTCTAATTTTACAGACTCTCACAAACAAAGGTATCTATGAAACCAGAGCGTCACTGTTACGAAAATATGCACCACCGATCGACTCTGCTCCACTATGGCAATTACCTAGATTCCGCTCAGCGTCCTCAGCTCATCTGGAAACATTCCGTTCTGCACAGGCGAAAAGCACCTGTTTTAATCACCATGCCACAGATTCAACTTCCCGGCGAGGAGTTTTTGGTCATGGAATTTATGAGCCAGCAAGATCATAAGGAAATCGCAAAGGAAACGCAATGAACTTTTACAGAAAATTCAATTTCCCGTCCACTAAAGTTTACAGTATTTTTGCGTATGCCGTGTTTTGAGAAATATTCAGTATTGGTTGTACATATCAATTTATGCAAATTAAAAATTAATTTATGTAGGCTGGATGTTTGTATTATCGATGTGTGTTTTTTTCTGTACCATATTGTAGCAGTAACACATGGCTACAGCATGTACACTGGAAAAACAAAATCAAGTGTTTATTTTAATTTTGAGATTAACATGTTAGTAGAGATTTCCAATTATGTCGTTAAAAGCAATTTATTTGTGTTTGGAGACTGGCGTATAAAGTAGAAGGTAGTGTGCGTGTGAATAGTAATTTTTAAAATAAAAAAGTGTCTCATATGAAGACTGTTGAGAAGATGAAAGTGTGTGCTTTATAAATGACAATGACTCCAACAGAATTTACTTTCATTCTGTCTTGCCACTCACAGTACGGTATATGCTTTATTAATGAGGCAGGTTGAGTGTTTGTTTCTGTTGGTTGTAGGAGTTGTGTGTGAAGGGTAAGATTATCACTCAAGTACAGTAGCTGCAATCGAGACAGAGACACTGTTATTTGATACATTGGCAACTCAGTCACTTTGATGTAAAATATGCATGTAGATTTATGTTTGCCTTTTTAAAAAGAAATGCTTTTATTATAGTGTGTCATTATGTTTGTCTCTTTCCTCGTATAAAGTCTGGTATAACAGTAACATTGTGAATTAATTATTATTAGAAGACGGTGAATTAACATGTGCAGTGCTGATACAAGGTGCCTGTATTTAAACTTTTATTACATTGTTTTGCATTAATATGAAATGAATTTCAAAATTTATGCAAAGTTAACAGAAATGTAATTATAAGGCTATATGATTAATGAATACTGTGGAGTCAAAATTGACTGACTCATCTCCATCATCACATTTCCTTGGCTTTGCCATGTTCAATTATTACATATTACGTACAACTTGTACATTTTTAGCTCCGCTGTCGACTTTGTCGAGCGGAGCTTATCATATGAGTGATTGTCCGTAGTCGTCCGTGTCAATGTTTTATATTTTTGACTTCTTCTTGAAAACTACAAGCCTGAATGCTTTG